CACACACCTAAAAAAAAACACCTCAGGAAGCGTGGGCATTATTAGCCATTAGAAAATCAAGAATATGGACGCGGAAATAAGACCACATCCACAAGAGAAATTGCCACTATTCCAAATCAAACTGGCTACCATGTAGGCATAGGGCTTTGAAAAATAACCTCGGGAAAAGGTCCGACGTGTCTTGGAAAACAGTTCGTTCGCCATTACGGCAGCGATTGAACAAATCTCAGGCCCATAACATGCTCGGAAGAAAATCAAATCATCCGCCTTCATAAGAGTGTAGCTTAGCGGTGGAAGTACGGAGACATGACATGGTTCGTTTCTTCCAGTGCCACAAAAATCCTGCTTCCTACCACATTCGTGAAAGAGAATGAAAGATTCAGTTGGATCTCCTGTGAAAACCAAACTGGCATGCAAATGAGTACATTTGTCAAAAGGTCTAATTTGGATTCAAGTCGAAAATAAGGTTGACGGAAACTCAGGGACTGTGTCCTTCCTGGTGAGACCGAAGGAGGGCAAAATCGATCGTGGGCTGTCGATGGGTTTTCACCAAACCTGTGAGTAGTTTCCTTCAGGAGAATGAGGAGTAGTTTAAAAGTGGAACGGGACATATCGATTTCATAACAATCAACGTCAGGCTCGAAACACTGAAATCCGCTCACAACACATGCGTTCAGCACTCAGGCGACCGAACCGGCATAGTAAGTTAATTGAAGGAACAAACGCAATTTACTTAGATCTAATTTACTTAGATGCATAAAATGCAGACAAAAAAATCTATTTATTTGAACGGTATGAAGCACAGATCTTGTTATAGTGAGGCGGGGGTTTCGAAGCAGTACGCCCTCAATTCTCGAAACTATCCGGTTTGAAAAAGGAATATGGGTGTATGGGAGATTTTTTTACTGAAAATAACGCAAATATGAGGTTGTCTGGTAAACCTCTCTACTTGATCGAGTGAAAGGTGAATAGATTCCCTTCGTATATTTTCGTGCTAATTCACGTTATTTACTAAACTGACATCAGGTATTTCGATGACACATAGATAAAACTCTTCGAGAATAAACAACCCATGCTTTGAGGAATTATAATTTTCCCGACAAGTTCATCTCATTCAGAGGTTTCATTACATAAAGAAACAGAGTCGAAATGAAACAATGTTTTTCCTTATGAATACCCATTCGGTGAAAGCCCATTTAAGATTGTTGAATCAGAAAAGTGCAGAAAAAAACAAGGCAATCAAAGAAGTGACAACTTCACATACCAAATAACGAATCATACTGATCGTTAAATAAATTGCGAATAAATTAGATCAAAAATGCACACAACTGTTTTTTTCTGGGCACAAAGGGACATGTTTTCGTCAAACTCACGACAGAGAATGATTGGATGAGCAAGAAAAACTAACCGCAAGTCGGTAAGATAAAAACTTCAAAGGTCGTACCATGTAGACTACAGAAGCTACTAAAATTATTCGCGTTTCATTGCTTGTGCACAGATGGACCATGCTAAATGGTTACCACTTATTACAGATATTTACACGACTACCACGACTACCCGGCTTATATGCGCCTGTCTGAATCCGCCGTTCGGAACAGATGGAAAATGGGACCTAAGTGATGACACAGAAGCTGTGCTGTGACAAGAGTCAGAACCACATATTTAGTTGAATAATTGCCGACTACTTCATCATAATCAAGTATTAATCTCAACAGTGCGCATCTGTTGTGCTGCACGAGAAGAGCGCAAAGACTGATAAAGTGTACGGTTGACCAGACTTAGACAAAAGCTATGAAAGATGGCACAGATTCGAATAACGAACTCCTCTGGTCCCGAGATAACCTGGGCTTGTTCAAGATATATAAGGTTAACAGCGAGTAAAGCCGTGATGATGGCTGCCGACTCATTGTATACGGGTTACAAGAGGAAGATGCTAATTGAGGCACTCGAAACACTAGTCTGAAGCGTCCCGGTAAATGTCTTATGCTGGTAGAGTTTGGTCTCAATTCTTGAACACCCAGACCCAAATAACCTGACTTTCGTGTATTTTGTGGATTTTTCATGTACTTGGAAAAGGAAACGGTAAAAAACTGACTTAATGCAATTTGGAAACCCGGGTAACAGATAGCAACCTAATATTAAACTAACAATACTGAATGGCTGGTCGGTGGAGGAATGGTATTCTAGGACGACTCGACACGAACAGAAAGAACCTATAGATATGTGCAATACACTGACTTTAAGACAGCAGAGTAATAACAGGATAATAACACACTGATTATACAGTTCATTCCCTCTGAGGACCACGGAAACGCACCGATCAAAAGGAGTCTCTTCGGATAACTGAGCACTCTAGAGAACGCAACGGCAAACGTGAAACTTGCGTCTTAGAGAATGACTTTGTTGCCGATGCTTAGTAGACTATTCCCTGTGTCCCTGACAGTGTACGTTGTACACCAGTGTTGTACAAAAGTATTCCCATGTGGACGGTTGCAATTCTGAAATATTTCTGTCGGCGTTATTTTGGTAGTCACCAAGTTGGTGATAAAACTAGTTTTAACTTTCCTTTAATTCCTGGTGGAAAATGTCGGTGTGCATAGATTAGTGAAGGTCAACCTCAGAGATTCAAAGTTAATGGCGCGTCAGACGTTTGTAAAAATATGGTCGCATGACAAAGGCCTGTCGTTTAGTTCTAACACCCTTTCGATGCCTAGCTGCCATGTCACACGTAGGAATCACGAGGGCTGAGATACTGCGCAAGCCGAGACCTAAGTGATGACACAGAAGCTGTGCTGTGACAAGAGTCAGAACCACATATTTAGTTGAATAATTGCCGACTACTTCATCATAATCAAGTATTAATCTCAACAGTGCGCATCTGTTGTGCTGCACGAGAAGAGCGCAAAGACTGATAAAGTGTACGGTTGACCAGACTTAGACAAAAGCTATGAAAGATGGCACAGATTCGAATAACGAACTCCTCTGGTCCCGAGATAACCTGGGCTTGTTCAAGATATATAAGGTTAACAGCGAGTAAAGCCGTGATGATGGCTGCCGACTCATTGTATACGGGTTACAAGAGGAAGATGCTAATTGAGGCACTCGAAACACTAGTCTGAAGCGTCCCGGTAAATGTCTTATGCTGGTAGAGTTTGGTCTCAATTCTTGAACACCCAGACCCAAATAACCTGACTTTCGTGTATTTTGTGGATTTTTCATGTACTTGGAAAAGGAAACGGTAAAAAACTGACTTAATGCAATTTGGAAACCCGGGTAACAGATAGCAACCTAATATTAAACTAACAATACTGAATGGCTGGTCGGTGGAGGAATGGTATTCTAGGACGACTCGACACGAACAGAAAGAACCTATAGATATGTGCAATACACTGACTTTAAGACAGCAGAGTAATAACAGGATAATAACACACTGATTATACAGTTCATTCCCTCTGAGGACCACGGAAACGCACCGATCAAAAGGAGTCTCTTCGGATAACTGAGCACTCTAGAGAACGCAACGGCAAACGTGAAACTTGCGTCTTAGAGAATGACTTTGTTGCCGATGCTTAGTAGACTATTCCCTGTGTCCCTGACAGTGTACGTTGTACACCAGTGTTGTACAAAAGTATTCCCATGTGGACGGTTGCAATTCTGAAATATTTCTGTCGGCGTTATTTTGGTAGTCACCAAGTTGGTGATAAAACTAGTTTTAACTTTCCTTTAATTCCTGGTGGAAAATGTCGGTGTGCATAGATTAGTGAAGGTCAACCTCAGAGATTCAAAGTTAATGGCGCGTCAGACGTTTGTAAAAATATGGTCGCATGACAAAGGCCTGTCGTTTAGTTCTAACACCCTTTCGATGCCTAGCTGCCATGTCACACGTAGGAATCACGAGGGCTGAGATACTGCGCAAGCCGAGGTAGGAGCAGTCAAGATGCCGTAGTTGGCTTCGAACCACGAAGCATTCGGTTAGCACTTTCGAGCCCATATCACTGGGCTGTTTTGATCACTTTGGTAACAACCACAATCCAATCTCATGTACCATCCACCATGGGGTAAAACTGAGTGTCTGCGCAAACCGAGAAGCTCGGTGATCTGAAAGGTCGAAGAAACGAAAGAGGTGAAAAATGCTGTAAATGTCTGCAGGTTGTTTGATCTGATTTGACCGACAGGTGCTCGGAAACAACCAAGAATCAGGACGGTTCTGTTGAGCAGCAAAGGAGAACGTTTGGACTCTTGGTACAAATACTACGAACAATTCTGCTGGTCACCAGCTACCTCCCATCCCTTGGACAGAGGCACGGACTGTGAGTACAAGTGTTCAACTGCATACCCCTGCACAAGTCATTATGTAATCCTGGTTCTAATGAACTTTGATTTGTTGAATAAGCTAGGTAGCATCAAAACCCCTACCGGAATGCGCCTTGCACCTTTAAAGTGCAATACATCAGATCATGTTCACCGTAATTCAAGAAGCACTGAAGGTTCTGAAGAATTCTACACACACCGTTAATCGTAATAACTCGGACGGAAGGGCGTATAATGAAATCTGTACGAGTCACAAAGGCCTGAATCACGTTTGCTAGCTCAAGTCACTTGTGGAGTCATCGGGTCTCAAGGGTCGCGTGTACCAGGCCGCAACAATCGTTGTATTGTTGTATGATTGCAAGACATAGCCCCTATGAACAGTTGATCTGAAGGGTCTTCAGTTTTATTTCACCACTGACGTCTCAAAAGTGTCACTGTTGTTGGACGGTGTCAACCATTTCGCCCGGAGGCAATTGGAAAATGAGTAGTTGGTTGTACAGTAAGTATTCAGGAGCGTGAAACATACAGCACCAATAACTGCGGCTGCTCGACCATACCCTACGCGCACCGAGACGAGTGCATCCTTCAGAATGCCAGAAACGCTTACCTGGACAATGTATAACTTGATAGCAAAGTGTGAAATAGACTGGGCGGAGGATAGGCGTTGTTGGTTCGCTCTGACCTCTGCACTTGGCGTCCATTTGCTGCCAGCGGCATTCGTGCCGTCAGTTTATTTCTAGATTGTTTGATTGGGTATTTGGAGGTATTTACAGCTCAGAATAATTGTAGCAGGCTAACACCACTTCCATTCATATTTTTTTGTTACACTTAGAGTTAATGACTCGACGAACCTTGTGGTCGTAAGATAGTGAAGAATTGGTGTCAACGATGAAGTTGCTGTCTCTGATGATGACGTCGCTCTAACAGAGAGACCAAGGACCATAAAATTTAACAGGAGTTTGACAGCATATAGCAAAGGTGGTCACTCTAGGGGAGAACAAACCAGTGTGTATTTGATCTCGAGTCAACAGCCATTTAGTGGATTGCCTAACAACGAATTAGTGGATGAGATAACCTGCTAGAGCGAGTCTTGTAAGCAACTGAAGAGAATGTACACACCGTGGTAAGAAAGCCTAAGACAAACGGTCAAACTCTGTTCATGATGACTCAGCTGAGGGTCCACTTCATATAATACACCGAGTAGAGCCAATATGTGGGTCTTTAACAGGCGTAATTACTACGTTAGAGAATTTGTTGCTGGAAAACTCACCTAGTTTGTCCTAGACGGTGAACACGATCTTCGGCTTGTTTGTCATTATACGGATTGAAGTCTATGTCGTGAATGATGACAACATCGGCGCCGGTGAGGTTCAGTCCTAGTCCCCCAGCACGTGTCGACAGGAGAAAAACTTCTATGGAGGAACTGACGAATACAGAGAGTGAAGAGAAAACAGGTGAACAAAATAAGCTGTATTGGATTTCAAAGTCACTCACTATCAGGGATTTAGTCCCACCTGAAAGACGAATCAGACCAGTTTCGCCGAGCTAGTGATACAGGTGTAAAAAAGACTTGTATGATATAATGATATATAGGGCAGAATAGGGAACGAATTACGGAATGGAAAAGGCAACACATCCACATTCGTAATTCATCGATCCGGACTGGTTGACATTTGTCATTTTAGTTATTCAAGCAAAATAGAATACAACAGAATTCTCGCCACACTCATTTGCTTGTATGATTAATGATATATAGGGCAGAATAGGGAACGAATTACGGAATGGAAAAGGCAACACATCCACATTCGTAATTCATCGATCCGGACTGGTTGACATTTGTCATTTTAGTTATTCAAGCAAAATAGAATACAACAGAATTCTCGCCACACTCATTTGCCAATTGTCAAAGGTATGCCATGATGTGCAAACAATTCATTAGACCAAGAATGACATGTCCACCTGAGCTGCTCTGGAGGAACCAGAGCGACAGGCCAAGTCGCAAGGTTTTCGGAATGAATAACTCACCTATAATAAATGAACTGATCACACTCCATAGGCTATGCTGGTTTAGCTACGTGTCTCATATTCCAGTCAACCCCGAAGGGCACAGTCACGTGGAGATGAGAAACGAACCACGGGATGTCCAACAATGGCTTGGCAGCGAAGTATAAAAACAACCACCAGAAAACTCAGTTGCGTTGGGCATTGCAGTCTCCCTGGATGGGGACCCCGAGATGATACACATCAATGATTAGAGACATTGTCAGAAATGGCCCAGTGGCGCTCGTACATTCATGCTATTGCCTTCAATGCATGACTCCCTTCTCAAACTCCCAACTTAGAAATCCACTGACAACCCTGTGTTGGCGCATCATGTCTAGTTATCTGACCCACCTCGCCAAGTCATCGGTGAATGAAACTGTGGCAGGTAGTACCACGGTACGGTACGTACACGGTTTTTACGTGAATAGCTCTCATCATAATAGCAGTCTTACCCAAGCTGCAAGGAAACCATTCTCGTTAACCAACACTCGTTCATGTAATCCAACCAAGAAGAGGAAATAGCGCCAGGTAGTTCAGTGGTGAGGATGCAAACGCAGCGACCGCGAGGTCCGTGGTTCAAACCCACCCTCCGCATCTCGACTACCCCAATCTGGGCTCCGGCAACTCGGCAGTAGCCCAGCCCTAGTGCTTGCTTCGGGTTAGGCGACAACTATGCACGGAAATGGCATTACAGTTGAATCATTATTTTGCCTATTTTTAGAAGACAGAAAAGACAAAAATTAGTTACAATAAGAAGAACGAAGGACCTGGGTTATTCTCACCTATTAAATCGATCAACCAGATGTTGGCGTTCGTTCACGGGCGTACTGCCATCTAAACGAAGATAGCGGAGGTCTCTATAGCGAAGGAATTCTTCCAGCAGGTCAAGGACGATGACAAACTGACTGAAAATGAGTAGCCTGTGGCCAGCTTCAATCATCTTGGGAATCTGAGCATCCAGCCAAGTCAGCTTACCGGAACCAGACATAATGGTTTCGATCGGCATAGTGTAAGAGGACAAGATCTAGGGGATCAGGACAAAAGAATGAAACGAAAAATTCGAACGACGGAACTAGTCGATAGAAATCGGTGTTTCTGTGAGTACAGTGATCACATACTACATAAAACGTAGCATTTTGCATCCTCACCTATTCGCAGATTTTCTGTTTTGAAAACACTCAATTTTTCGATCGCCACATTCACGAATTTCATGGGTATTATGGACCTTTATCAGTATTACAACGAAATACGTGTCTTATGTGTATACGTACATATACACTTATAAATAGCAAACGAAATCCAATGGTAAACGGGACACACTAACTTAAAGAGTAAAATATTAACAAGTGCACATCACATTTACAAAATAGGCGAAAAACATTTTTGCATGGATATTGAAGATTCCAAGAGCTGTAAATTTATAAGTCAGCGAAATCATTTTCACCTCCGCTGTAAAACACTGCACACCTGATTTACCAGCGTCGCCTGCACCCACAAACCAACTATGAGTGTAAGTAAACGCTTTGGTGTTCTACACGAAGTCCTGCGAGTTCTACGCGGAATCCACTTGGCTATATGCTTGCAAATGTTTCCTGTACAACTTCAATCATCTGAATTGCATTTAAAGAGTGAGGGGGGATAAGGTAGGGCATTCTAGGGGATGCCTTCCACATGTCTAACAGTTTAGTGTTTCGCGCATGAAGGGGACGAAATGTAAGGTAGCAAAAAATAAAGACCTAGTATATTCGTTAAAAGGAGAACTAACCAGGTTGTTGGGTATGCTGGCTGTGTCATGTTAAAAATCCCCAATTTTCAGACTTCAGTAAGCTACTGACTGGATATTACTAGTGAGGTTAAACACGTCAGAAACCATTGGCCATAGGCGGATCAGCCAGTCTAACAGCCCTGTATTTACGCATCAATTTATTAGCTCCCGTCTCCTATGCGTAGCTACCTACCCCAACTCCCAAACATCAGTGGACGAAACTTTGGCAGCTATAACCACTGCACAAGTACGCGGTTCTTACAGCTGATAATGATAATGGCGTCGTAGACCGTATGAATACAAGACAGCATTCAAAAGTAGGAGAACCACAGAGTGATGGAGCAGACCAGACGACATGAAAAAGACGGTGAGTTAGCAAGAACTTTTCAATGAAAATCCGAGTACGTACACCTATTGCGCCATAGTTTATAATACCTGGTTAAGGTCCCTCAACAGCTTTTTCGACCAACTTATCCGTTCGCCCATATCCCACTCAATTGTCCATCACACCACATCAAACCTAAATCGGTCCATTATTTGCAAGTAGAGAACCCTCTGTGTCTCCGTTTCCGCAATACTTCCCTTGATCGACGTCCTATCTGCATACGCACTCAAAAGGTCCTCCGCGGGGCAATCGGCAGAATTCAGTGGTCTAACTGTTCAAGATCTGTTAAATCGTGCTGCTCTATTTGGATTAAGGATTTGGTCCAGGATTATACCGACAAAATTTCATGCATACGTGACAGGTATAAAGTAGTACACGAGGATGTAGCGCGGAAGACTTACATCATAAAACTGACAAATCTTATGTACTTGATGATCACTCAATACAGACAAATCCTCGTAAATCAGCTGCGGATCGGAATTTGCATGACTGGGATCCAAATGGAGAGTTTCAGCAATATCTCGTAAAGATGCTTGTGAAAAAGCGATGCCGGACAAAAGAGCCTGATGGTTGGCTGCCTTGCGCAGTTGCACAATCATGTTAGAAGGTGAATCGACGCTCAGATTAGTGTCCAGCGTAGCAGAGTCCGTGCCGTTCAACACTACAATGAACAATTCAAAAAGCAAAAGAATGTAGGGAACGAACGGACTCGGAAAGGAGTAATAAAACAGACAGATGAACAGTGTGAAACAGTTCGAATAATTTTAGCACGTTGCAAACAAACACGTAGCTAACATTCCAAACTTGAATGAATTGTGAATAAAATATATAACATTAAAATTGATTCTTTTAAGGACCCCTGACGACGCCCAGTCAAAAAAAACCTCAGAATGTCGCATTAGACTGGAGAGTACGGTGTACTGAGCCTACGCTGCTACAAAGGCTCAAACATCGCCCATAGCCATAGACTACTGGCTTGCGTATAAAGGCTTGCTTGCAAGCCCCCACACCAGATATGTTTTAGAGAGCTCAGAAGACGTATATGTGAACCTCCTATTCTTCTCCCATACGCTGAGCTCACGTTGAACGAAAGTAAGATAATCTCAATAGGACTGTTACTGAAAAAAGGAGTAGACCTCGTCTGAGGTGACTCGTACGGAGAAGCCAAGATCATGGTGTCTAGCTACCATGCCACTCGAAGGAAACACGATACTGTCACACTGGTCAAACCTAGACAGGAGCGGTCGAGATGCCGAGGTTAAGTCCGAACCATAGACCTTCTGGTTAGTAAATTCGTCCCTAAACCATTAAGCTATCTCGAGTTTGATGGCAAGGAATATGGTGACGAGGGAGGAAACAAATGATTCGTTAGAGCATAGGTGGAAGCTTCTGTTTACCAGACACGCAAACCTATTGGTATGCCTCATGTATTAGCGTTGCAATAACCTACTCTTTGAACGCTGTCCTGTCTGCGTGGTTACCCGAAAAAACTAAGATGGAATCCCAGCAGGTCACTGAACGGATAACAGATCAAATTCCACAGGACTGTGGAATTTCGGACGTCACCCAATGAAGAGTTGTAACAAGAATTTATGGAGTGCCCTCTGTTAAAACCAACCTGAAGATTGAGGTACCTCTCATGTCAACCAAATGACCGACATGCTGATCGCTATCAGATCTTAAGTTCATCGAATTTGGTATGCAAAACATCGATGTGAAGTTGTATGCGAGCAGACAAACACGAAGGGGTGGGACTTATCAGTACCAAAGTAGTTGTTGAACATACCGGCAGTTTCCACACGAGGTCTTTTAGATGGAACGCCTTCAGCGTCAGGCTCTTGATTCTCATTACCAGGTTCCTCAAGTTTAACATGGTGGGTCGAATCCGTATTCTCCACGGGGACATGTGTGTCTGTCGCTTGGCGGAAACGATCTACGAGTTTCCAGTAGTGTTTCGACTGAGATTCAGTCATTTTCACTTTGACAACTTCGTTTGTTTTTGTGGGTAACTGATCCAAAACCTATGGAGAAAAAATGACAGCACAGAACCGAATTTATATGACACTATCATTATTATTGTCATACGGGGGCAATAAAGGACTGATGCACCGGAAAGGTAGTGCCAACAGGTCAGGGATGCACGCTGTAGCAACCTTACACAGTTCCATCAAAAAAAACATGGGTAGATTTCCAGTAGAAATATACAGACGGTGGCGCTGCTCAACACTGAGCTCGACGATGACTGGTTAAGCATGCTCAGATACCGTGTACAATATTGGCGACCGTGAACCGGGGTAATCCAGAGTGTACAGTGCCATGAAGGATATGGATATAAAGCTGAACCTTCCTGGACTTTAGTGAAATATCCCTGGGCACTAGGAACACACCCAACATGACAATTCTGGGGGTGATCCGGTTAGGACCGTGCTACTGGTCAGTTTGTTTCAGTTTGATACCCTCATTCAATACATACGGTGCGTATGAATTGCAGTCACCTGCAACAAAAGGTACAAGCAGTAGACTAAAGATGGGGAAAATTAACAACGATTCGTCATCGTATCGGAGAAATCATCGGCGCCCAGAAATCTATTATTGGTCACAGGGGAACGGTTTTAATAACTTATCCAGAATACACCGCGTTGTTACAGGTGATGAACTCAACACGAAATCCGTCCAACCTCCAGTCATGGGTTTGCTACTCAAGCCCCACTACAAATGAGCAGCACGAGTTGACAGCCAAAATGTGAGCCAAAAGGTTCGATGAGAACAGGCTGCAAAATAACCAACAAGCCAATAGAAGCAAAGTACTTTTGAGTAGGGTCCCGGAGGAGTTGGAAATACCCCTATCCAGAAAAGTCAAACACTTACTGCAGATGCAAAGTCCCTCATGGTTATCCTTGATCATTCAGCGGAGTCACTGACTCCTCTCGGATCATATGACTCACAAATCTGATGTTTTCAAGCTCACCTTCGAGGGACGAAGGTGAGCACGATCAACAAATGATCGCACCACTATACATTTACGGCTCTCAACAGCGATGTTCTCTCGTTACTACTCCGTAATTCACAAGTACTGTCAGGTAATCCTATCGAATACATCAGAGAACAGACGCCAGAGTCGGTGATATAGTCGGTACATGTTAAAAACAATACCACTGATCAGAAAGATATAGTATTCGGCCAATACAGTAGCAAAAGAGGGGAAATTAGATAGTTGCGCGAAAACCCCATAATAACAGAAAACTCTGCACAGGTCAAAGACCTGTTGCGAAAAAACGATAGGAAACTAAGAAATACATGCTGGTGCCTACAGTATTAATCACAACTCGGAGTTGGGCAATAGGAAGAAAGTCAGTAATAATTCTTGACAGTCGTCTGGGATTTGAAGCTTTGTGGGTAGTCCAGATTCCTGCAAACTTTGAAGCGAACTTCCCAGCAGAGAGTTGCTGTAAGTTACGAAACTGCAAACAGACCTTCGGAGACAAGCACTTAGTTACGAGCCCCCTGTAAACGCTACAACGAGTTTGTCATGCGGAGCCGTAACAGTTTTGAGCAGATGTAGTGCACACCATACAACCGCAGTTACCGAAGTTTATACAATGTTTATCTATGACATCAAAGGCCAACATGTGAAAACGTACCTGGGACTTGAGACGCCGGAGGAAAAATGGCTGCAGCAAATTCTTTGCTTGCTCCAAACGTTCCACCTCAAAGTTACTTCTTTCGCAGACGTCCAGATCACAGAGCTGATTCTCGTCGCGCTCGCTGACGGATTTCTGAAAGGAGGATAACGAAAGGACAAATTAGTCACTTATGGTCATTTGTAATAGTGAATTTGTTTGAGTAGTTTACATATGAACCCAGTCGGAAGTTAAGCGAAACACCAACAGATAATCCAAGGCAGTCAACAGCCTACTGCACATATCAACATTGTGAAAGAAAAAGAAACTTCAACTGCGGAACCCTTTCGGTGTATAGTTGTCACGCCACCCGAATGAAGCATGAGGGCTCAAATCCTGTCGGGTTGCCAGAGTCTAGACAGGAACAATCGAGAGACAGAGGTTAGGTTCGAACCAGAGACCTTCTGGTCAGTAAGCTTGCGCCCTAACCATTGACCTGTTTTGAAATTCAATGTGGTGAACCCAGGCTAAAAGCCTTACGCCATCGCTAAAAAACAGTGACTATCAAAACCCCATCAAAGTCTATATCTTGGCGATACAAACAAAGTACCGAATTTCTTGATGGAACTCACTATATAATAGTCATTAGTTATGATTCTCTGATCGCCTTTAGAAAGGAACGTTCTCGCCAGGATTATCTTGCTTGTCAACATTACTCCACTTGCTTAGTTGTTTTCCGCTTCAGCTGCAGAACTAGACTCTCCGATAAATCGTCACAGACTGATGCAATTGTCCAACTTAGGCCTTCTATAAAAAGCCGAAACAGTCACAGAGCCTGGCGAGTAAATTTAAACGCTCACTTCATTGTTTCTTGCGGCCACCAATATCGAAGTGGGACGACGATGTCCAAAATTTTGAGGGGAAATTTCAGATCGTTTCGGGAATGACTTCAACAAAGATGCGTGGAATTTTTAGACATACTAACCTGTTGGTTGAAGCTTTGCCGTTGGAGAAATACTAGTTTCTAACTGGAAGGACGCAGAACAGTTCGCAATAATACAAACAGGCAGGGACCCCTATATCTGGAAACTGACAGTTTGCAAATTGCCAAATTCTTTACAGTGTTGACACAGGCAGTTGGTTCACAATGGGCGAAATAACTAAGCCATCGAATCATGCACTCTAGAAAACCGGATTTTACTGCATCACAGTGACCAAATTGAGTGCATCAGTACAAGTCCGAGTAGTTCAGTGTAAACTTCAGTGAAGAGCACGCTGGGGTGGATTCTATAGACATACTAAACACGTGAATCCATGTATTGAATCAAAACACTGAATTGAACTGACGATAGTGGAATATGGATATAGCAGTCTGAGAGTGAAGAACATCGCTTGTCACCGTTGAGCAAAACCCTCAACCTCAAACTGAGTATTTCACCTGACTCAACTGAATTCTGTTTTCCTCATTTAATTATCCCGAACCACCTGTGAAAACTACCAGGTGAGTATAAATCGTTCAGGTTCGACACCCTTTCAGTGCATAGCTGTCGGGTGATTCGGAAGAAGCACGAGGGCTAAGGCTAAAAAGGAACAATCGGAAAGTTATAGATTCAAGCTATGAAACTTTCGGTCAGTAATTTCTCGCCCCAGCGACTGATCTTGAGCCCATGTGTTTGAATATCGGAAAAGTAAAGTGCGTTGTAAGCGAACGGGACAGGAGTGGATGTCGAAATAGCAAGAATGTTGTTCCATTTGCAGTTAACAGCAAGGTCCGACTTTGGAAGGATGCAGCATCCGCAGTACACCATGTAACTCACTTGCATTAAACACAACGGCTACTCGCTCACCGGTCTAATTTTGCCGGTTGACTCTCGACAGCATGCGGCTATGCCACAACCTGAAAAGCGGTCACTATCAAGTAGGGTAATCCGTGGAATCACAAAAAAACACTAAGCCGAATAATTAGACATACACGAGTTGTCCGCAGGCGTAAAGTGATATACATATACGTACAGAGTAGACCTGGAACATTCGCTTGAGGAGATCAGTAGACCGCGCGAACAAATCTGGCATTAAGAATGATAGGAGTGATACCAACTCCAAAAGGTTGTTTTGCAGCGGAGTACCGGTCAAGAGAAGCCGACGCTGTACGCGAAAATTACTCAGATGACGATATCGTTGCGAGGACATGTTCTTCAACATGTGAGCCTCATCAAAAATGCCATAATGAAAATTGACACGCTTCATTAGTGCTCTGTCCTCAATTGTGCTAGTTCCGATGGCGTAGCTAAATTTGCAAAGAAAAAAACGGAGGATTAGGTTAAAACTTGGTTGACCCGGGTAAGACACCTAATCAAAGGCTGAAATGGGATTGCGTAAAATTCTAAGAGCGCTTAAAACAAAGTAGAGGAAAATTAAGCATTGGCATACTTGGTACTAGCAGCTCAGCGAACACAACCGAACCGGTCAAAAACACACACTCAGTACAGTGGTAATGACTGCAAAAATAAATATCCTGAAAAAAAACTATCGGAATGTGAGCCTTCGCTCCATTTTCTAGAGAGAGCTAGGCAGTGGGACACCTCTAAAGGCATTAAACCAACGACCATCTATGCTGCCTGGGCTATCAACATTCTCCTCTATATCAAACAACTCGGACCACTGGGTTTGATGTAAATCATCACTACGCGAAAGGCACAAACGAGCCAGGGGAGGTCAAACAATGGCTTGTCAACGAAGTATGGAAGCCATCTCAGGCAAACAGGTGCGCTGGTCACTGGCTGGAGACCCCGAGACGGGACACATCAGTGGTTAGAGACAGTCAGATATGGTCCAGTTGCGGCCTCAATGGCACGAATGCATCCCAGATGTTGCCTTAACTGCATAGCTTCCCCTTCTGATCTCCCCATTGAAAATCAACTGACCCTCTGTGTTGACTCATCAATTATATCAGGTAGTCTCCAATGCGTAGCTACCTAACCCTACATCCAAAAATTATCGATGGACGAACCCGTGGCAGCCACAACCACTGTACAGCGAGTACAGCGTTTTTACAGCTGAAGACTGACAATATATGCTCGCTACTAGGGTACGTGGCGTGCGACCTCCTTCAGGGTTTAGCCTCACGTGCAAAGAGAATCACGTGGACGGCAACCACCAGATCCAAGAACTCTTAATCTGGAGGCGGCCCAAATACATTAACTTGGCAAGACAAATAGAAAAGGCCAAGTCTCACAGTCGCAAAGTAAGACTGTCGTCGTTGTTGGGTGAACACCAATGAAATTCGTTTCTGGCAAAAAGAAATGGCGCAATTTGGCAGATACGCCGGCACAGACACAGACACCAGGACTGTTGCAAACTGCAGATAGGGCAGTAGGAAACCCCGGATCGGTGCTAAAACAGGCCCATTTAGGTGCAGCACAAATACAAACATAGTATCTGTGATACAAAACCATAGCGATTCAGACGGCTGTAGAGGACAATTGTAAGTCACCGCAGTGAGCTGAAACGAACTAAACCGTACACAGAGGGAGCACAGGATGGAAAGGTCTGTGAAGACCGTCACCCTAACCGACGGCGATGAATGCATTAATATCATGTCATAGTATCATCCGGGTTCATGCGGTCTAACGCTTTCCTGATTAGTTGCCCAAACATACTGTGCATCAATCGAGTAAAGAAGTTACAGACAACAGCGAATTCTCAGTCCAAGTAAGCATTTAGATCGCAGGAACACAACACATAGCAAAGTTAAATGGGTCCATGAGGAAGAAGAGCGATTATTAAGATTTTTACGTTTCGAGTGCAATGTCACCGGACGAACAGGATTGGATTTTTTTCTGAAACGTGGCCAACATATAAGAAAGAAAATCTATCAACAAGATGTCGATAGCAGGTATTCATTGCAATGTTCATTGCAGGTCTCATAGCAATAGGTAAATGCGAATAAAGGGGAAAACGGGGAAGCCTCCAGTATCTCCGTTGACAAAACACTCATCCATTGAGCGAGCCATCGTGTACTTGAGCCTCCATTAGAGAAAACAGAGACTAGTGCCATCGACGCACGAATCCGTGTACCGGGTTCAGACCAAAGTTTGACACCGCTGATAATCTACCTCAATGCAGGTCGAATAAGACAACCCCGTAAAAAAGCTCAGCAGTACTCTGACACGTGGAAACAACATTTTTGAGATAAGACAGAATACAACTCAAGCACAACCACTGAACGGCCAACAAGTAGCTGAAAGTCAAACTCTCTCTCCGTCAAAAGTATGATAAATTGTGAAAAAATGCACCCATACAGTGAGTCTACCATTAACGAACCTTGTCAGTAGAATATTAAAATCTGGGTGAGTGCCAGCCTCATAAATCTTCAACCGGATGGCTTTTCGTTGTTCAGCGGAGCCTTGATACACCAGCACTTTGAGGTGGGAACACCAATCGGACAATTCCCGCAGCCAATTTTCCTGAGTTGAGCTTGGACAAATGATTAGGTGAGGTCCGCGGTCTCCATTCTCCCACAGGCTAGCCAGAAAAGCAATTGCTTGAATGGTTTTTCCCAAACCCATTTCATCAGCGAGAATTCCATTTACTTGTTCATGATGCAACAGTCGTAACCAATTAAGTCCGACAAGCTGATAAGGTTTGAGTTCAAGCCTGAAACACGTAGGAATACGATGTAGCCATGAGTGAACAGAAGGTAAATGGGCTTCCTGAAAACAGTGGAGACACGTAATTCGCCTCCAACTCCTAATTTATACGGACGAAGAACAACGGATGGGCTATTTTAGAATTCCAGAGACACAAAGACACTTAGTTCGAAGTTTACGGTAATTATTTCAAAGGCGGACACGAATTTTATTGTCTGACGGTCTAAAAGTTAAAGAGCATGAGAACATGAACGCCCCTGCAGTACCGCGACCCAAACGTTGACACCAAATCCCAAGGTTCTGGAGGATGCGCTGGTAACATTCTAGTGACTGAGCAGTCTATGAGGTACCTGAAATGCCAGAAGGCTAGAAAAACTTGTAACTTCAGTCGCTGCAGCTCAGAAGTGAGAATCAGCCCAATGGCCAGATGCATGACGAAGATGATTAGATCACAATTCATATGTCAAGTATATGTGTAATCAATCCCAGAAATGTCCTGACAGTGATCGAAGCCTCGAACAAAAATACTGAAGCCAGCCGTCAGATTGCGCAAGGTTGTCGGTCGATCCGATCAGATGAAGAGAGTCAGATTTAGACGATGGCAACATCATACACCAGATCGAAACTACTGGCTTCTGCGTGGCTTGCAGCATGGAAACAAAGAATATCTGTATAACACTATACGAAAACCCATCGAATTCATTCTTAAACTGCAGAGTAGCTGAACAACACTAGATCAATCGTTGAAGAGCAATGGGCATAAGTGTAACGACCAACTGACCTGACAAACTGACGCTCAGTAAAGACAGGATAAGCACTGGCACATAGTAAACTGAATATCAATATTGCCTATTGACAAACTGGAGGCAGAGTGATAGAAACTGAGTACATTACGAGCTACTACTGTTGTCCATGACAATGGAGTGATAGCATAAAAGCTGAACCACTCTGAGTAGCAAATTATGAACGGTTCTTTAGTTCTTAGGAAAACTAGATCAAACCAACATAATTACATCAGTGGACGTGTGACGAGGGGCTATGGGTGAGGACCGTGAACAAAGTAGATGAATTACCCATGCTTCAAAGACTACGCCGGTTAAAAAATGTATGCCATTCCACTCAAAGGAGGGACGAGGGCTGGGATACTGCCGGGTTGCCCAAGCCTAGACAGGGGAAGTCGAGAGGCGGTCGGGCTCGAACCACGGATCTTCCGGTCAGTAAATTTGCGCCCTAACCACTGAGCCATGCTGATTGGAAGCAATGTATGACCTGCATCAAAGTATTAAAACGCTGACCGGTAAACTCAGACGGGTCGATATGGTCGACTCCATTGATGGGGACTCCGGAACTGAACTCATCAATGGTTAACGACACTGGCAGACATGGCTCGATCACGCAGTCAGTGGCACTCGTGCATCAAAGCTTTCCCATTCAGCATGGAGCAGTCCAGTTTTCCGTTACCTCATAGCAATGTTTAATGCGAACTAACTGAAGTCACCATTTGCAATCCTCATTTGTAACTCCCATGGTCTGATTTTCCGGTAAGTGAAACTGTAGCGGCTGAAACCAACGTACCCTTGATACATGGTTTACTGTTGATCAACTGACTGAACTGAAAAAACTACATCCGGTCAGCAAATGAAGAGCTCAAAGGGGGTAGTCCTATTGGGACTTTAAAAAAACATCGGGTAGTAAACAAATGCAAGAAGTAACAAAGTGAGAAAGAGAGAACTTACAAGGGATTGAGTATGGCGGGCTGCTGAGTTAACAAATGTTCAGCATTGGCGCCAGAGTCGGAAGATGGTTTGGGCGACTTGAGCTGATCTTCTGATAAACTGACGACATTAGCCAACAAGTTGGAGACGTGATCAGCAACGCGTTCGGTGATTCGCTCGCATCGCTGAAGCAGGCGAATAACTGTAGCACGCATCTGCAGAACGTCTTTGCATGCGTCTATTAAATTAGGTGACAGAAATCTAGTTCCTTGCAACCGGTTGAGAAGATTGGTCATGTTTCGGAACGGTCGCAAAGATACCAGGATTTGAGCGGTCTTTCGAGAACATCCGGGCATCAAAGCAAGTTCTTCTGGTCTGGCATCATTGAAGAATTCTAGGACGTTTATTCTTTCTTCCTTATTGAGATTCAGATCCTGAAAAACAAGTGGTGACAAACCAGTGAATATACTGCACCGTACCGACAAGCGCCAGATGTACAATTCGTCCACTAAAGAGCGAGTTCCGCTGAGGCGACTGTTCTCGTATGAACAACTGGCCAGTATGTCAGGCGATCGACTGTCAAACGGCTTGATGAAGGACAAACTGGCGAAGGAACTGTGTCTCTGATGGTCTTCAAGAACCGCTAAATATCCTGCTACTAACACCTCCTCAGTAGGCTGTGTTTGAAACTAGCAGCAGCTAGATGCATGATACGAATCTAACTAGCGTAAGTGTTCTAGTGGTCTCCAGTTTGGACTAGCAACCTCGTCACTAAGCAGCTGAGATGTACGTAGGAACCGGGCATTGCAGTGGAACGAGGCTGACAAAGTACTAGTATTATGATGAGGCGTGACTTACATCATTCACAGGTTCTTCTGTCGATTGTTGCTGTTCGACCTTCTGTGGAACGGATTTAACGTCGTTCTTGGGAGTTGCCCGTTTCTTTGACGCTAGAAAACATTGTGGAAAAGTGTACAAAACACACTGATCAAACCCGATATATACTGATCAGAGCAAGATTGAAAGCACACGTGACATGGAGACACGAATTTTACACAACAGCAGCGTTAACATGTTTCCCAGCACGGATCGAACAAGGGAGGATCTGAGGCTGGCGCACTTTTCCGAAAAATTGCAAATCAGGAACCTCCCTAGCTTTGCGCCTTACTTCATCCGACCGTAAGGATTCAACAGTATTCTCTCTTTGGTGCTGGTATGACAGCCGAGCGAAAGGACTTACTGGTCGTCGCCATGATGATTTTCGTTTGCTAGATGTATAGCGTTCTTATTAATAGTCAAATACTCTGTTGCTGCCGGAAGGGATTCGCTTGCAGGGAGAATGCCTAAAGTAATGAGACCCGTTTTTCCACGGAAAGAAGCGCAACAGTTTAGGTGGAAAATCTGCATTGCCAGCAAGGTGTTTGATTCATCATAGTCTACTCCATAAAACTCACTTGGGGTACTAACAACTCCGACAGATGCCATATATTTTACAGCTGCATCGCCATCCTTGCTGTCTGGAGTGGTGGTCCCAGTGGTACCATTGGCATCTTTTTGTGTCGAACCACGTGACCGTCGGGTGGTCGCTGCAGCTTTAGCTGTTCGGAGCTCACGATCTACATAGCCCCGCTTTTTGCTTTCAGCTTCATTGATACGATTGCTTCGGAAGAAACGATTAGTTGAGGTCTTGGGTTCCATAGTACCGCTTAAGTCTGATAACTGTGAAGGAGGGACAGTCTAGGATGGGAAAAACACTGAGAGTTAAAAATCAGTGAAAGTACGGCAAGAAGGTGAGCGAAGAGCACGCGACGCTGGGGAGCAATAAACACAGAAACAACAAGAAGTTTAACGGATAACAAAACGAAGATAAAAAGACCTGAATCTTTTTCGTAGGTCTACCGACTTCGGCAGGTTTCTACTGCAAGCAGTGAAACAACCAGCCCATCCGGCAACGTGGAATGAACTATGAACACCAAATAACACACGCTCACGTTTTACGGTTAACATGGAGACTAAAAAGGAAGATACTAAATACACATCAGCTGCTCTCTATCGTCTTGAAAATTTGAAGGTCAGAGAGACATCAATCAGCGCAGTGCTCGAAGTTTGGAAGATTTGAAAAGCATAAGGGAGAAAACGACATAAATTTTTCACAACTGCAGGCCAACGACATCAATTCCTGACTATGAATTTGAGAGACATCTCAGCAAAGGAAGAAACGGTTATGGAGGAACGTACTTTCGAAGCCGAATTTAAAGTAGACGACGGTTGGGAATGGGAATTGACAGCTTGTAACGGAGTGGGAATCAACGGTTCCGGCTAGCATAGAGAAGATAAGGTTTCGTTATTCAGGGCAGTAGAAATAATCAATAAACCTGGGAACACAAACATCGATCATAATCCAAATAGTTACGACTCGTCCTGGGTTACTTTTAGACGTCAGTGGTTGTTTGGTCAAGGCTGAGCAGACTCAAAGCCAAACACCTTCCTTCTGTAGTACTAGACACACTCATAAAAGTTTAAAAGGTGCCGGACGAATAAAGGCGAATAAAGTTATAAATCAATCATCCAATTTAGCAGCTATAAACCGTGTACCATAGGCACATTGGTTCCAGCTGCTACAGGCTAAATCACCGGAAAGTGGGAGTGCGAGAGATACAACAGAGCCTTGGAGGTGATAGCATGCTCAGTTAGTTCAGGAACTCGGTTGCTACGCACTGAAGACGATAGCTTTGATGCACGAACGCCACTGACTGCGCGATTGGGCCATTTCCGCCAGTGTCACTAACCACTGGCATTATTGTCTAAATACCAGCGCAGTTCCATCTCCTAAATATTCCCATGGGGAGTTCGAAAGCTGCGAAAAATGATCAGGACGCAAAATGTTCCAAAGCGACGCGGACGAGGAACCAGTTGTGTAAGGATGAGATAGTCAGTGATAACTTACGGAGTTAGTTTGCTGTTGTGGCGGAGTAGGTGGGGGTTTCAGTGGTGGCCGCACAACTCGTTGTCCTGTAGCATCCAAGTATCGCTTTTCATGGTCATCAGCGGACTCCACGGAACCGTCCGGTTTGACAATGACACGGCGATAGAGGGTACTGGCGATGCTTGGTGGGCATCTTCCCAAAGGAACGTCCAGATAGAGGTAGCCTCGAGGATTCAGGCACGTAGCTTCTTGCTTAGGAGTTTTGCTTTCGGCTGAAGATGAAAACAAGAGCTTCATCAAAATCTCCCGAGTGGTGCAGTAATCCATTAAAAGACTCCATTTATAAAACTCTAAAAGGTTTTGGACGCACGCACTGCTTGGACAGAAATCAGAAAATTCTTCACCCAAGCCCAATAAACGGAAACAAATACGGAGTTCTTGGCAGCTTCGTCTGTGCTCTTACTCCATTTGGTATACTGAATGGATTGAAATGTAGCACTTTCCGTGAACCCACGACTGAACGAACGCTGAGCGATTTCCGATGGAGCTTCAATCGGAAATTCAGTCTGATGGCTTCAAACACAGAAGTATTTGTTTTTAGCCATAAAGACCAAGACAGAGCACAGTAGTAAACAGAGGACAGTACATGAGGTAAGTGTCAACCATGGTGCATCCTTATGGAATAAAAAGCATCAAGAAACAAAGGAATGAGCATCCCGGTGGATTTAAAGGAAGTTTCCGTATAACTGTTTACAGTAAAGAGTCATGAAAAATCGAGCCTAAGAACAAGTGCCCATCAGAGTATTGGATGCCACCAGATATGGCTAGGATGACCATTGCGTAGCATGATGGGGCACCATAAGCCAGTGCAGAACATCCCTTGCTATCTTTCCCAGTTACACTGATTTCGTGAGGTACCAATGAGCCCATACTGAGCTCGTTTTACCACTGTAGATGACGACTCAATGGATTAATCCAGCTGGCCACATCAGTAATTCATACGTAGCTCAGAAGCGGCACGGTTTTGAGCGCTGTTTTGTCTAAGACAGCTATGTTGATATATGATATGATATGATATGATAATTATATGATATGATATGATATGATATATGATATGATATGATGTGGTGTTCCTAACGTTGATACACTTAAAGTTGGGTTCTGAGAGAGGCAAATGCTTCACTACTTATTTCGATCCGAAAGTGCAGGCAATTTCTTGGAGGCAGTGATACCTGTTTGAAGTTAGCATGTACCGTTCCTGGACCATTGCAGCATTTACCCGACGTCGTATCTTTTGAAAAACACCTTCCAGGACGCTCCGAACACAATCCTCCCTACAAAATATGGTAGCAGTTTTCGTTGTGGCCTTCTTATAAACGTGACTTCGATACATTCAGTTTCACGGATAGGGGTTGGTATACACAATGGGAACAAGGGACCTGGTAAAAAGTAAATTCAAACGACTTAGCTGATTGTAGTTTGTACGCAACTGCTGTGCCGACTGACAAAGATTCAGTAGTTTATGCGGAACGTCTGGCATACTGTGGTCATGTGATTTAGTCATTGTAGTGTACCGGTTACTATCCACTCATTTATAGACCAATGGGAATAGAGTCCGAATTTCCGCAATCTGCTCCGCCTTGTATAATCTAGATTGTGACACACAAAGAACTGTGTACAAAAACCAGTGGTGCTTTCGTTTTGTCGTATGGTGTAGGCACCATGGATATGCACTCTGATATCCTTTATAACGTTTGCAGCGAGCGTAGAAAACCTCGCTCACCGAATAATGCCCAATGAATACCGAACATATGGATTCGATTCGTTAAAATAAGTGTTACCTAATAAGTAGCAAAATATGAAGTTCTTACGGGCTCGCTAGATCATAGCTCCGGTTGGGCTGGATGAGCTGGCTGTACCAGTGCCCCTTATTTCAGGCAAGAAACAGCTTTAGTGCTTTCGAATGGCACTTTGCTTGGAGGGTTGTATCCTTTTAGGTGATATGGGGAGGTCCTAGCAATACAGGTGGCATTAAGGCCAAGTTGATAACTGGGTGATACCTCCAGGATGAACATTACTGCCCGAAATACTCCACACATATGTGTTAGCCAGTGGACAGCAGTAAAACGAGGACGTACCTTGTTTCGAGTCAGGCTTGTTCGGTGGGACCAACCGAACACTGGCAACCTTAGCTATATAGCGGTTATTTTCTTCATTCAGTGTCTGGAATGTTTTGTCGAAGTTCAACATATTCCGTGTGAAAATCCGGTTGATATACGCTCGTTTGAAGCGGGGGAATAGCTTTTGCAGTTCTTCCAGATGTTGGACGCAGTCTACACCCTCGAAGGTTCGTATCTTCTTCTCCATTCTTTTAGATGAAAAAAGAGCACACAAATGATTGGACAACTCGGTGACACATGAATCAAGATCTTTCAACGATTACACGTCTAGGGAGGAGGCGCACTGGTTTCAGATACGCTAGACGAGGAAGTACAGATCCAAACCGAAATACATAAAAAAACACCAGAATTTGACCTTCGTGGTTTAAGGACCTGTGTACCAATTCGACGTTCAGCGTCCAGTAGGCTCTAGATGACTGTGGTTAAAGAGCGAATTTACTGATCGGGTGGTCCGAAGTTCGAACACAACCTATGCATCTCGAGTGCTCCTGTTTATGCCTGGGAAACGTGGCAAAACCTCAGTCTCGTACTTCCTTCAAGTGCTATGGTAGCTAGGCATCGATTTTCGGAAAATCAAGTATTTCAGAAATGGTTCACTCAACTACCCTTATTGCGCTCATCCAGTTGGAGCGCCGGATGGCCATTTAGGGCAGTTCGACGGGCATCACTGCGACCGTGACATAAAGCAAACACTATATCTTGGTCAGTTTCATTGGAATCTCCAAGGCGATACTGCGTTAAAGAGCCATAAAGCACCACGTTCTGATGTACTCATACAGGCCTTAGCGAAATACACTCATACTAATTTGGTTTTGACAGGAGACTCAACTGGGACCCAGTTAAATCTCTCGTTTATGATGTTTTCTTCAAGCAACTGAATGTTCTGCATCGGGCCGCCTCATGTTTCAGCTGATAAAGTATTCGAGATATCACGACATATTGTATAGACGTAACACTACTCAGTAGGCTGCTGAACATTCCTCAAGTAGGCACAGTCCTCAAGTTTCCGTTAAACTTACGTTCTACTTGAACCCAAACTTCACGAAATTAGAGAAATACACTCATTCCCAAATTCACAACCGAGTCCCCCCCCCTCGAAACCAAATTGGTATGCAGGTAAGAGTTGGGTTCAAGTAGAACATACGGGTGATGGAACTCATGGACTGCACCAACATGATGAGTTCCAAGAATGGCGAAACCAGCGCGACCTTATGGGTAGTGTATTTCGTCCATACAGGCTTTATTCGGAGTGGGATAGTGCTTGTAAGGGAACTCATTTTGATTCTCCATCGTTTGACATGGAGATCTATCCAAAAGGAGTGATTGTGCTAACGACGGATGCATGAGTCTTATTTCCACTGCCATGCGTATGTAACTCCCCGACAATTATCAATAACATGAAGGCAGCAAACCAGCTTCCGAACTGGACGGGGATGTATCAACCGCATCTTTACTCTCCACCAGATTCCAGAACACCGCTTTATCGACAACGATCGACCATTGCGGCCCTTATAGATAAACGCGCAGCTTCCAACTCAGTTAATCCAGGAAGCTTATTGAAATGCCTGTCGAAGTTTGGACTATCTGACAAACATGTGAACAGAATTGAGACTTTGGGCCTTGAAACAGTAGCCCAAGTCTAAACTAATGGCGAACCAACCCAGCCGTCCTCCTCTTATAATGAGTTTCGACAGGGTGCCTTCATACCTCTCCCTCCTCAACTATGATGTGCATGCTATATTATGCTATGCATTCCAAGGCTACACTTCTAATAATGGGATGTAGCTACTCTCAGGTTATCGAACGGAAAGTAAGTGGAAGATAGCCATGTGGGAAGGGCCACAGAAGAATTATTAAACTGCCTGTCGATCAAAAGGTTCCATAATGCGACATTATTTGCAACATCTGTATGGAAAATCGTCTCTCAGAACTGGCAAAAGGTGCTTCCTACGATCATACAAGGAAGTTGTCCGTCTATCTACTGAGAATGCTGCATCATACCTAGTAGGAGTGGGGGAAGAAACCTTCCTAAGGATGATAATGGTCACGTGTGCCAGTGTCAACTTGAAACATCTCTGGTGCCGACTTCACATGGGTCTTTTGCTGAAGAGACAAGACTGTGCGCTCCACCCTACAGCATGGCTGCGAAACTTGGTCGATTTATGCTGGAGATATCCGGTGACTGTGAATCTTCGACAGTCACTGCGTAGTGTTGCTGGTATCTGGTGGATCAAGAAATGTCCTGAAGACTTATGTTTTGCTTTGCACCTTGCCCGCCTGGTATTTGGTCACGATATGACCCACGAAAGAGATTCGTGTACAGTAACTGGAGTGGGATCTGTTTTAGTACACCCATGAAGTTGCATTTGAAAAATGTTGCCGCATTACAACAGGCATTCCGTAAAGTAGTCCAGTAAATTGGATGCGGAAATGCAACGAGTTTTCATGAACGGTTCACGGGCAGTGTAGTTCAAATTCGAATGGCTCTCAACCAGTCGGTGATGGAAAACTGAGTGAACTATAATAAAGCAATATACGCGAAAACAAACCACCAGAAAGACCCGGAGACCCAGCACAGGTTGTCACGCAGTGGTGATAGAATAAACTGACGGCAATACAGCGGGACTTACACATCATCAAGTGGGATACTGTTTCGTGTACGCGCACGCCCACGGGGGCGTCCCATTGGTCTAAGATAAGGCTGCAGAACCGGGGGCGTAGGATCTAAAGGTTTCCCGGCTGAATCCAAAGCTTGTGCGTGTGGTGTTGTGCTCGATGTGGACGGAAAGGGTCCACCAACAGGTAAAGTGGCCAAACCAACCACATCTGAACCTCCTGAGGGAGTGACATCATCGGGATTGAAAACTAGATATGGAAGTAAGAACCCAGCTAACCAACAAACTTACCATTTAGATTGATAATGTAATGGGGTGCATCGGTCTCTCCTAGAGATGAAAAAGAAGCATATGTTTAGAAAAAGTTACACGAGAAACCAAAACAATGGGCAAAATGCGCAATCTCAGGCAATCGACATTCGTGAATACGACCGCATTCAACGGCCGCCTGGAAACAGGCAAGAACGACTATTGTGCTCTAAACGCGAATCGTTATTCGGACGCACTACAGAAGTAATGTGTTGGGGATATCAATATCCCACAGCAAACGCTGTGTTTTTATGTGTGCTAGCGAACTCCCGGCATCTTCAAGGTCAAACTATGAAAAATCAATGGCCTATTGATACTCCAAGGAAATTTAAATCCGACCACGTATAGGATACCATTCTTTCCACTGACTTGGGTTCGGAAGCTCCGGGCATCGCCTGTTGATCGTGTGTTGTTGGATTATTAAAGTTTGTGTCCGAGGTTTTCGTCTTCTTACTATTCGCCGTGCTAGGCGTCTGGATCAAGCAACATAGCTGGGGATAGAGTATTGCCACAATCCGCATTATCATATTGTTTGCTCGCTGCGTGACAGAACCGTAACATAATGCGAGTAAAATACTTTGAAGAACGCATAAAGATCGTCACAGTAGTGACGAGTGCATGTTCAAAACAGAGCGATTAAAAACGGGTCTAATTAAGTAATGCGTACGTGATACATACTCTCCCTAAATATTTCACGTGCCAAAAATGAATACGGTAGGCCGCTTATGCGCCCGCTTCTAGGTACAAGAGAAAGGCGTTTCGAGTTCGAAATCAAACAGCACCAGACAAGAGTTGGCAGACAGAAGAATCAACGATAAACCATGAAACGGAAAGCGTGGGCCATCACCATCATAGACAGCAACATCAGTGCTGATAGTGATGTTTCACTGCCGTACAACCCCAAAAAAGCGTATTTAGTTATTTTTGAAGTGAAAAGAGTGGAAGGCGGGTCTTGGGGCTGACCCACCACAAGCACCTACAATCAATTGATTTGGAAAGAACAGCCACGGACATCGATCAGCCATCATCCAGCCAAACGAAACCAAGGGCGGGGATCCCATCCTGGAAAACGGACGGCACCAACAACACCCAAAATCCTAATCTCTTTCACACCCTTATACCACGTCAGACGTTGTCCATCTCGCGGTTTGCGCCATTCTGAAGGAGGCGCCGAGAACAACACCCGTCTCAGTAGACACTGTTTCGGCATTCGTAGCACATGGCCGACCCATCGTAACTGATGGTGCTAGGTATTTTCAGTGACTGAAGTACCAGCTGCACAACCAAATACCCGTTTTCTAATTGCCTCGTGACGAATTCGTTGACGCCAATTGAAACCAGCTAATTGCCATGCCACCCAAAGGAAGTAAGAGGGCTTGGATACTGCCAGGTCGCCCAGGTCTAGACAGGGGAAGTCGAGAGGCGGAGGCCGGGTTCGAACTACGGACCTTCTGGTCAGTAAATTGGCGCTCTAACACTGAGCCACCTCGACTGAGTTCAATCCCACCCAGTCTTGCAGTTTCTACTTTAAAGCTGTGAAGTGCGTATCAACCTGTGCAGAAGAATCATCTAGGTTAAGGGTTTGCGTCTCCGAAGGGTGATTCTGGGGTGACAATATCGTCGGTGTGTCCGTGAACGAACACTCCGGGAGGATTTTGATCCCGAAGATATTACAGGCGGATAAGGAAGGCTCAGTCAGCACATCGGTTTCGAAGTTGAACGAAAAAAGTGAGAGTATATCCTTGCCTGATACCACTTGAGGTGATGAACTCAAGAGGAAAATTTGCTGTGAAAAGGTATGCACCTACGTCGAGAGGTATACAAAGCCCTTAAAAGAGAATAATTTGGACGAGACACCCTCCATCGCCAGACTGCTATATTCTGACGATCAACAAGGTCAAAAGCAGATGTGAAGTGCAGAAATACGACCACCGTCGGTCATCAGAAGTAGTGGAGTAGTTCCATCACCTGCAGCACGATCAAGACACAATTAAATGCAACCCCGGTCAATGTAAAACCCAGAGTGGTTCTCACTGATCTAATCTTGACGATGATGAATCAACCTGCACAGGATAATGCCAGATAAAAACTTGGAAGCTATAGCCACCAGGGTGATGCCCCGGTGGTTTTCGCAAAACATTCTTGCACCCATTTTGAGTATGAGGTGCTTCATTGGCGGCATTCCACTTTCATTCGAGATATTACTGCGTAGTCGTCGGGTTAGCTAAGACGAACTCACCACCTTCTTTGAAGGGTGCAGGATGCAAACCTTATGGACCAGGTGCTTTGTTGCACTGAAGCAACAAAAGGGAAACTGGAGTTCTGTCGTCGACGGCGGACTGATGTTGACGTCCCACTCGAGTTAATTTGAAACCTCAAAAAATTGATTTCATGGAGCCCAGATGAACTGGTACTGCGATTGCTCACCGTTATAAAAGACCTCTACTAACCGGGTTTTGGGATCCACCATCGCTCTGTGGATTATTAAACTTATTATTCGGTGTTTGAGGTATCTGGTTGCATTGCTACAGACGTTTACTGCAGGTAGAGTTTCCTGGCTTCAATCAGAGCTGCTGACCACGAGAAGATTCGGAAATCCCAAAAAACGATTTAAAAAGCTGTCCTACGGCTTCTTTTAGCTCTCGCCAATTGCCATCCGAAGTATCATTGCAACGATCGTACTCACCGAGTTCCGGAGGCTTCTCAACACAATTCGCCTTAGTCGAACCACAAAAAAGCTTTGCAAGAGCTGAACCGAATGGCTTTCCATCAACTGGCGTGTAGCAAATGTATCCAACCGTCCGCACAACGTCGTGCTCGGAGTCCAGAATGACAATCTTCTATTGAAACATTCCATTTGATTGCTGCACGGTCCGAGGATGGCTTCCATCTGGTGGCCTTCAAACCACGCGGTTCTGGTGAAGTCATGCAGTGAATGTCAATCCGGAATCGGCGCTAAGATAGGCTTCCTCGGAACTCAGTCGGCTGATCTGAACGCCTATACTACCTGCCAAGAATTACGATACTTGTGCTTATTACTGGCCTCAGTACTCGTAACTTTCCGAGCTTTGGAGCTGTAATCTGTCACAGCGTGTGCTACACACTAAGTAAACATCGTTTGCCACGTTGAGATGCACTGGTCTTCATTGAATCAGTCAACCTAACAGCACAAAGATAACTGTTTACCGGGACGCAGTACAGTAAAGCCCGATCGGCTCTGAGATTGAGCACAATCCCCACATCGTATATGCCATTGCATGTGTTTCGCAGACACAACATACATCAATCTAAACGGACATCAAGACCTGAGCACGAGCTACTTGTTGCCCTACTTGACAGAGTACGAACTCTGAAAGCAGCTACTTGCAACAAACCCCTAGAATTTAACAAGGGTGTATTTGTTTTTCTGGGAAGAAGTTAGATACGCAGCAACTGTTGTGAACGACGGCAAATTTAGTCAGAGGGACTTTAGCGAGGGACTTGTAGGGTGGAGAACTGTAAGGGAGAGTGATACCTCCCGATTGTACAAGCCGTAGAAGGGGTTTTGGGTTTAGGTACTCAACCTTGAGCCTTTGACTCGCCCACAAGGTTGTGGAAGGGTGTAGGGTTTGTTCGTGGAGGTTGCCTCATCTCTGACTCAAAGTCCGAAAACGCAAAGCAGCGGCGGCTAGACTTTTCGTACGAAGGTCAGCCGCTCTTAAAAGCACAAAACCACATCGATTAGACCTTACATAACATTAATTATTACCGTATAAACACAGTTGCAATACTCTGTTCATAAAGGGCTGTCTCAGGCTATCGTGCCCTTTGATATACCATAGTGAGTGGAGCAGGATACCAAACACCAACCTAGAGGTTGCACCACCGTCAAAAAGCGACAAGTTTTCTTGAGGGGCCTTTCAAGGAGTCATTGACTCAACTGCTCGGCCCGCTTTCCTGACCCGAGGGCACAGTGACTGAGACATAACGGATGTGTACAAGAGTTACCTTCTGGGCAGCACTAGACACTGGTTTTCAACGTATTTCGACTGTATTGAATAATGAGCTGGTGGTGACGGTCAACCACCAGGCGACCTCAATGTGCGGTTTTTTAGCCGACTGTTTTGACCCGTTCTTCCTCGGAGAAAACCAGCATCGCTAACTCCATAAATAAGGGCATGCTGTTTGACTTGAGGAAACGCCTCACTATCTTTACACTTATCGATATTACCCTCAAACCGCCATGTATCACGATTACTCGCAGTACAGAGACTCATCGTTCTTAGTCGGGATGCTGCCCGTTAGCCTTCTTGGCATGGTTGAACCTTTAGGAAGTAAGTTCCGCCACTATAGTACGCAGGCCATTGCAACACATAAGCAGGGTCTGATATGTTTGTGTGATTTCAGTCACACGACTTCCGCTGTTACGGGAACTGGTTCTGCCAAAAAGTAATGTGATCACAGCACATCCGCAGCAGGTGCTCTCTGTTGTCCCTGGACTTCATGCCAGTCAAAGATGACCACCCAAACAAGCAAAAGCGACGATAAGCCTACCTACCTGCGAATTCATTGCATCAGCGACCAGTTGGCCCATTGTAAAAGAGCACCTGGAGAGTTGCAGAAATTCAGGGCTATAGTCCGTCGGGATGTAAGCCGATACAATAAACAAAGAGCGATGAACCATTCAGACGTTGCTGAACAAACCGCACAGAGGCGATTGTCAGTCAGTATCCGATCAAGTAGTGACGCCCCCACTCGATAACTCAACACAATACACACTCCACATATTCAGATACAGCAGGCTCCGCGAAACCAGAGGTGTGCAGCAGAAATCGGGATGGGAACGACGAGGGAGTCAGTTCAGTACTGGTGTCCTAAGTTCTAGCTTCTGACAGAGAGTATACATCAATACGGAAGGAGTCGGGCGTGCACGCAATAACCCTCGTCAAAGATGGAAATACCTGTATGGGTGTTGGAGCTCAACTGCCTTAAACTCCTTATTTTAAAAGTGCCTCACTGAGGAAACTAAACAGCGCTCTGAGCAGGCCTCACTCAATCAGTGAAAACAACAGTCGAGCGCGAAGTCGAAACCTGAGTGGGTGTCCAAGTGACCGGGCGAAATTCTTCTGCCAAGGTGACCTGGCCAGCTGGTTGGAGTGAGCTCATTCGCCGGATCTTTCAGTAGAGAGTCGCCGCTCAGCTGCAACACCCTTTCGGTACCCAGCTGCTACGCTGGCCTATGTCAAGCATTCTGAAATGCCTATACCTCCAACCGCTCAATCAGACAGTCTGGAAAGAAACTGACAGCACGAACGCCACTGGCATTGATTTGCCGCCATTTCTTGCAACGTCTCCAGTCAAGCACAGACGGGGTCACGGGGACCCCATCCTGGAAGTCGCACAACACCAACAACACCCAAACTCTTTGTGATCTCTTTGACGTCTATCTTCCAAGTCATGTGCTGTCCACCCCGCGGTTTGCGCCATGCTGAAGGAGGCAC